GGAATTACAAAACCCTGACCTGAGTTACAGTATACAAATGATGATGATCATTGAGGAACCCAACAGTTGGGCAACCTACTGTAGAGACTCCCATCAGCTTCACAAAACTACAGCAAAATATGGATTACAAAATCATTCTTTCTGGGATAGGGGGGAGATGGCACAGGAAAAGAGCATACAAAACAGTACAGGCACAGGTCTGTTACACTCTATAAAACAAGCACAGAGAACCCGGCTTTTTAAACTCAAAGGTGTTAAAAATCCCGACTTTCCCCAAAATTTCCAGCCACACTTTCAATGGGACACAAAAACCAATGTCCAGATGGGGCTTTTGACAGTGTTTGGTAGGACATGCACAAGCCCCTTGGCAGAATGGGTCCTGCCGGTCCTTGGGTTACAGGGGCATATGTAGCAGCCAAGGATGATGCCCCCGCTTTGGTTGTAGTTCAGTGCCCCAAAGCAGCCTTCTGTTTGGCAGGGGATGGGTGAGGAGTGGGCAGTCTGTCCACGGAGGAGGAGCTGCTCAGGGTGGACTGAAGGTAAACTGTCTTGTGAAAGAGTCTGTTGCTGAGGAAAACCACTAAAGAAAAGAGACGCAGCTGGAAGTGGCTGAAAGAGAACAAATGCCATGAGCTTCCATTCCAAGTCTAGTCTCTTCCCCATTACAGCCCCTCACTGCATGTACTCTAATCCAACAGCACAGTACAAAGTTCTTTTTGTCCATTTGTATACTATGCTGGGTACATTATAGGATGATGAGCTCCTCCAGAGCACAGGCTAGTGGAACCATAGCTACATTCCACTCTAACAGACTGAAGGAAACAATGCTGTCACCCCTCACATGCAAGAATGGGATGTGGCAATCCTGTATCTCTGCAGGGAGGACAGAGCAGACTGCATGACTGGAGTTAGTCTGGCTTCAAAAGCATGAAACTGTAGATGAGAGTGGAGCTGATGGTAACTTCAGAATACCAGGCTCTGGGATCCCCAGCCTTAGCTTGCGGCATGTGACTGAAGAAGAACTAAAGGGTGTAGCAAGGTCTGACCACATTCTGAAACACAACCCTCCCTCCAAAATACTTTCACAAAGTTAATGCAGCATCCTCCTGGCTAATAAAATCCAGTTTAATTTCTCTTATTTTAAGCTAGTGAAAGAACCCCATCATGAGCATTCTTTCCTTAATATAACTAACCTTCCCAGAAATGTATTTATCTACCAGACACAGGACTGTTTTAACGTTTGTTCGCTTTTAGGTAATTGAATCAAGTGTAACTTCTTCCTGCATCTAACATGGCATTAGTTAAAATAAACCCCCGAGTTTCCTTTACTAAAGACTTACTATGTTTTCCCAGGTGTCTTTGCTTCATTGGCGCTGATAATAAATAGAGGGAAAAGAATGGAGAACAGGCAGCCACTGCAAAATGGAAAAGGCACATTCAGTCATAGGTCTCAATTACTACAGGGCGGTGTCATAATAGGGCAATACAAAAAATGTCCACCCATACAATAGAAAACCCTCTTGGAATCTGCAGTGAATGGAAGCACATGAAAGGAAATGGGGGAAATAACAGGGGAAATAAAACAGCCAACCCAGTGAATCAAACAGTCAACCGAAGCCCAGTGAATTCACACAGATGATGCAGATGACTGCTGTTCTGCTCTTGAAGAGGGAATTATATCCTGCATATTCAAGACAGTACCTATGTCTAAACCTGTAGTTTCCGTATGCTGTATCTTTGTATTATGTAGAGATTGCTATAAGCATTACTGGACAGATTTATAAATGGCAGGCTACATACAGCCACTGAAGAACTACTGCAGCCACCAAAATTTCACTACAGCCTTATTCAGTCATGTGGAAGAAGAGTGAAGGGCATGGAGAATATAAATAACAAACACATAATTTCTGGGGAGAACCCAGGTGTGCTTAAAATTTCTGCTGGGATCCTCTGCACTATTTTTATGAGTGTAATCACTCAGTACAAAAAGAAACATGCACGGCTTGACATCGGAATTGGGTTTACCTCTGATACCTCTGCTGTCAGCATTACCTTAGGCAAGACTGACAGAGATACAGCATATCTGCATCAATAATAAATCAGCTGCACTCACTGCTAGCACTGCTTACTGCTCTGTATTACAGGCACAAGAGAAATTATGCCAGGAAGGCTGGCTCTAACTGTAAGCAAATTCAAAAGCCAGACAGGAGGTTACAGAAGAGTCAGAGCAAGATGAGAAACTGAAAAGCAAACTGCAATAATGTCATCCCATTGGTTGGCAAAGGGATCTGAACTTTTTCCAGCCACTATTTCCAGTATATTCAATCTAGCAGGGCAAGAATATACTATGATTTGAATAGGTTTTTTAATTGCATGGCTTCCTACAGAAAAATCTGCACTGAATCTTAGTGTTTTAAATATACATATTTTTAAGTCTTCCTTGTTTCTCAGTGCACTTCCCCGTTTTATTGTCTTTCACCTACATGCTGGCAAGAGCCATTTTCCATTATATTGTCAGTGTGGAGACACTTCTTCCACTTAGGGACAGATGGAGGTGGTGGGGAAGGGAGAAGAACACAGAGCTCTGGCGACATTTTGGAGAAGGCATATATTTCTGGCGGTGTTTGGGGGACATGTTATCTCTGCATTTATTTCCTCAAAGAACAGATCACCAAATGCTCCCAATCTAAAATGAGAATTACCTGATGATATAAGAGGACTGCATTGCAGTGAGAAAAGCCAGTGGTAAACCAAATCCAAAATAGTAGGGCCAGTTCCGCTCAATGTTGGATAACCGCTGATGCATTTCAATTCCTGGTAAAAATACAAAGTTAAAATAAGAATATAAACAGAAAAGTCTTAGGTTAAAAAAAAATACCAATTGCAGTTGGTGAAGTTTCAGACTATGGTACCAAGTTGGAATAAAATCTGAGAAGGGACTTCTAATTTACAAACCTCTAAAATCTGGTGTTCATCCGATTCTAACAATGTAGGCATTTTGCAGCGAAAAAAAAGGACAAAAACTTAAGTTTACTGAATCCATATAGCCTTTGTTCTTGTCTTAGTCTTTGCTGGAGAAGATTACTTAAGTGAGGCAATTTAACAAAAGCCAGGTGGAAGTGACTATCCAAGGCTGGCCCTATCTGACATCTTTGGCTTGTTCCTAATCTTGAGCTCTAGCATTACAAAGGAAAGTCTGGCTTTCCACTAGTGTTTTTTTTTTCTATAGCTAAATTTAGAATTCAGAAGGCTCCAAAAATAAAATGTCTCCTCTTTCCACTCATTTTGGATTAGTTTCTATTGGAATCGATTCCATGGAGTAAAAATGCAGTATCTTGGAGTTGAAGAAACTTTACACAAAAGAACCTTGGTTTTGTTTGTTGGTTGAGAATTCCATGAACAATTGAAAACTACATCAGAATAGGACTGCATTTAAGGCTTTTCAATTAGAAGTCACCCAGAAAATTACAGATTGCATCTACCCCTCAAGCAAATGTTTATTATACTATTCTTATCTTTCTGTTCTGTTTCAAACACCATTTTGCTGTTTATAATCTCTTCTATTACCTGAACGATCAAGCAGCAGGATATTTCCACACAGGGCAACACAACCAAAACATCTAATCACAGAACTTCTGGGCAACAAGTCAGCAATAGCAATTCATGCTGATCAGGTTAAAAGGACTATGAAATGGCATGTGCATTTCACAGATGCCTGTGTGACAGCAGGCTGCATTCTCATCTGGAAGATACGGAATAAAGATCCTGCCAGGATCTGGGCTCGCCACAATGGAACACAAACAAGAAATGAGTTAGCTGTGCTGTCACTAGGACCAGACTTCAGATAAGATGTTGAAGTCAAGTTCTCTCTGTCATTTTCTGGCATGTGTTTCAAGTGAAAATGGTCCCAAAGCACCTTCTAAAGGAATGGATGACAACCCAGTGCTGCAGCCAATACTTTACTGCAGAAGTCAGCAATAACAGCAACCTTTTTTGGGCAGAGTACCAAAAACACCCACAGCTTCTATCTGGAAGATGTTGGCGTGCCAGGGCTGGATGGCAGGGGAGCTGCAAGGGGCCCAATCCTTGTTGTGGCAGCACAGCCCCTTCCCCATCATCTGCCACAAAGCACACACGTACCCACTGCTGGTAACGAGCTGGGCTGGGGCTCCACGGACCACAGTGCAGCTGCTTGCACCTCCTGGCCACTTGCTACAGCCAGCCCAGGCCCTGGGCATGCCCCTTCTACCCACCAGAGATCTCGGGCTGGTCACAGCAGGCGGCAGTGGATGGCAGGGAAGTCACGAGGAGCCCAATCTTTATGGTGGCAGTGCAGCCTGGGCCTCTTCCCTACCACCTGCCCCGAGCTACACATGCCAATCAAAATGCCTTCACATACTATGGCTCTGGCACACATGCTGAGGGTTGCTCACCCCTGCTTTACTCTCCCAATTGAACTGTTTCTTGCATGACCAGTGGCGTGGCTGTTCCATCTTATATGACTTATGCCATCCCCACAATGGTGGGATCTCAAACCCTGTTCTGAAGTGCTTCCAGATGCTTCTGAAGTAAGTATTTTGTTTCTACATCCTGCTGGCTTGACTCACCACTGGACAATGTCTCAGCACCTATATTTATCCCCATACTGAAGCACTTGAAAATCCAAAAGTGGAGAAGCAGGCAGGAAGGTCATTTATCACAAGCAAGAAACATCTTCTGGTTACATCCCTCTTATGTTTACAACACAATAAGCATCAGCTCAACAAGATTTAAGTCTTCTGAAAAACAATCCACAAATATGCCAGGGAGTCATTGTCCTAAGAGAGCACCACACTATATTCTGGCACTGTCATAAAAAAGAAACAGTTACTTGCTAGAGGAACTGGATTGAAATGGAACTGCCATATAAAAGGGACCTCATACAATTAAGTATTTCTAACAACTGTCCTAGCAGACTATTGCTGAACACATGCCCTGTTAGCCTTGAGAGTCAAGGGTAGCACTCACCTTTGTTAAACCATCGGTACTCAAAGCAATATAGGGAGTAAAGCAGTGACATGTGCAGGAGGCTAACCAACTGACCAATGATATCGATTGGGAAAAGGCTCACGATCATCCCCTGAAGTGGAAGAGAAAAAAACAATGATTTTGCTTTCTACAGAGTTTGTACAGCACCATTCTTTTTTCTTCCTCCTTGAGTAACATGGAACTGGATGACTGGAAGGGCCATTGTTTTAGTTTTATTTCCCGCCCTCCCCCCGCCCCGATCCCACCTTCCTCCTGTCACATTGTCATATAGAGGAAACTGAGCAAATTGATACTCCCAGTCTCCTACTCACAGCCTGCCCATCCAGTCAATATGTATGCACCTGCATTCTCTACTAGCCCACATACAGAATCCAAAACAGGTCTCATCTCACCTGGATAAGAAAGAGTGCTTGTAGTAAAAGATTAAACAACATGTCTGCAATGATTTTACTGACACTGGGAAAGGGATGAGGCTTTCTTCCTGAAACTTCAAAAGCCAAATCCGCGATGTCCTGAAAACAGACACACACACATTTCAGGAACTAATTAACAAGAAAATTAACTCCAGTGAGTGCACTACTAATCTGCAGTCAGCATGGCAAATGCCACAGAACACATTTACAGGATGCACATATGCATGCTCAGTAGCCATGTCGTGTAGCTTGTATAGCTAGACTGCACACAGAGTAGGATTGCAAATTGTGCATATGTGCCCAAAATGGCAGCTATGTGGCTGGGTAAATGCCACTTGTGCACATAAGTGAAGCAGGATTCTGCCTCAAGCTTAAAGAGAGAACTGCACACTATACCCTGGTATCTTGATACCAGAGAGATTACAAGGAGACTTTGGTAATACCCAAAGTTACTTGCCCAAAGTGGTTTGAAACTGGGCTAGTGTCAAATCAGGGGAGCTTATGCATTTAGATATTTCCAGCAACTGTCCTTGCAGAATACTGCCAAAATACATAGCCTATTACCCTGGAAAACAAAGGGCCACACTGGGACTGACTCCCAGTCCTCACTCTGAATCAAGCACCAGGTTGCCTCCATGCAACAATTTCCAAACACACTGATGATCACAATAATTGTAGCAAGAAAAAAAGACTAGGGGGTAGGAAGAGGAGAGGAGCTGAATGTGATGGTCATCTGTCCCAGAAAGCAGCAAGCTGTTTGCAGCATAAACATCAGCATAAAACACAATGCACCTGCAAACATCCCCCACTATGACAGTGAGAAGTAAGGACATCTGGAAAAATAACCTTTGTGCAGAAGTGTTTTTTATGGCATCATACTTAATAGACCATAGGGATACCTATGTTTCAACATGGGCCATCCTTACGACTTGTCACGAGTTAGCGAACCTACCTACTGCACACTGAATCAGAGGTTCTCACCCTTTTGAGATTCAAGGCACCCCTTGTTAGACTAAAGGAATCCCTTGGAAAATGCCAGCTCTTATTTTTCCTCATTTTTTTGAGTTGAAAAATAATAGAGCAATTCTTTTGTTGTAAAGAAGGCAGAAAGACATCAACGGCTTAGAATGTTTCTGACACTTTGGAGTCCTATTTGAAATATTTGGCTGTGTCCAGATGAATGCAGCCATACAGTATGCAGTGCTGCAGACATGTCTGCGGCACCACACACCACACATTCAGTTGCTCTCTGCACTGGGTTTTTTTGACCCCTGGGATATCCAGGGGTCCAAAAAAAAGCAGAGTGGCATGGAGCAGCATGCGCCGCCCAAAACTGGAGCCTGGCTGGCTAGAACCACATTCTGGCTGTTGGCCAGGCTCTGAGCAGCAGGATCACCACTGCTGCAGCCCCAGGAGGCCCCCAGGACCTCAAGTAAGTCTGCTGGGGCCAGCCCAGTGCTGGCCCCAGCCTCTCCTACCCCACCCGGGGTAAATGTCCATGTTCGTGTGGATGCAGCCTTTGAGTTTATCTTTTGAATCACCTGCAAGTGTGATTCAAATAGTGCTGATTCAGCAGTACCCCATGGCACCCTCAAAAAGATGCTGCGGCACCCTGGTTGAGAATCACTGTATTGACTAAATCAGATTAAAGCTCATTTATGACTGAGAAGGAGTCTGCACATGCTATCAGCATGCAACTAGAGTGGCCACCCTTCACACTAAAAACAATGGAGGCTGCAAGCTGCACTATAGATCTGGTCATAACTGACCAACCCTTAACACAACAAATACTACTGTACATCACTTGTTCAATATAAATTCCAGCTTTAGCAGTTGAGCTTAACTCTATTTCTTGTCACCCTCACCTACCTGAAACCAGATGGCATTGACAACTTTACTGAGCACGAAGAGAGGAAGAACCCAAAGGGCACTGAAAATGGAGGTGAGGATAAACTCCAGCCAGGACCAGACATCACCGTGTAATGAGGGATCACCTTCAAAAGAATAATTCAGGTCCCTATTAGACAGGCACATAGGATTCTCTTCATTTCAGACTGCATACCTAAAATTACCACAGAAAAATACCTAGCAACAGCTTCCTTTGTACACGTGATATTCCGCCTTACTATAAAAAAAAAAAGGAGATCAGTAAAAACAACGTTTTTCCCAATGTGCTTGGAACCCAGATATTTTTCATGGTTAGAACAGAAAATGGAGGTTTGCTGTGTTAAGAGCCACAGCAAACAGCTCCAGAGGACTGAAGAGGTGTAGGTGTACCAGCTGTTTGCTGCAGCTTTTATTTCAAAGGACATCATTTTTCTCTGATCAGCTGTGGACCATGACTGTTCTCCACGTGATAGAGAAGCAGAAACCTTTGAAGTGAAAGAATGAGCAGTTTGTTTTTAATTAGGCAACCTGCAGCAAACTAAAAGAGTTGTGAACCATCCCTATAAAAAAGCTTCAGGTTCTGCTGTACCTTCTGCACCCATTTTCACCCACTTGATCTTTATTTACTGCCAAAAATATCCTAGCACCTGTGTTTCCACAGGGAAACAATGGCTGATTCTAGGAAATATGTACTCCATTACATCAAAAGCAATGGCTTTCAATTTTTCATAGTATGAGTAAGAACATAGTTTCTTCTTCTGTCATTAACGATAAACATCTGGGGTTGACATTTATTTTCTGGAAACACTAGTAGTATACCCAACATGGGGAAAAAAAAGAAGAGCAACAGTTAAAGGAACACTTTAGGAATACAAATGCAGACAGGGAAAGTACATGCAGCAACTGGAAGAAAGGGATAAATGAAAAAAGATAGAATACACGAATGGAAAGGGAGAAAAGTAGAAAGTGGCAGAAAAAAAGAAATATGATCACAAACTGCTGGAAGACTGTTTTAGACTGGAGATAAAGAAAAACTTCTTTACCATCCAAGCCTCCAGAATCTGGAATAGACTCTCCCCAGAAGTGGTACAAGCACCTACTCTGGATACCTTTAAGAAATGCTTGGATGCTTATCTTGCTGGGGTGATCTGGAGCCAGCTGACTTCCTGCCCCTTGGGCAGGGGGCAGGACCCCTTCCAGCCCTGATGTCTATGAAATTTATGGTGGACAGAGATATGTAGTAGGAGGGCAAAAGAAAAGACTGCAGAGGAAAGCAGAGAAAGAGAAACAGTGACTAAAGAAATTGCTGGTGAGAAGCATGAGAGGCAGACAGGCAAAGAGACAGTGAAGAAGTTAGTGTCTTTAACATTCACTATTTTAGTGCTGGGGAGCCTGCCAAGAATTACAGTCAATTCCACTCACTCTATCGTCCCCCCACAACAGCTAGGAGCAAATTACTGAAACAGACTGCTGAAGATTCAAATGTGCACATTTATATAAGAGAAGAACTTACTGAGGAACAGATTAATCAAAGTGAATTCTTCATGATTTTTCAGTGTTCTCCAAGCCCAAACACACTGGGGACTTGCCTATATTGAGGCAAGGAAGAACTATTTACCCAGCCTGCTTGTAGGAGTTCTGGATCTATGCTGAAGTTCCTTTTCACATGAGAGAGAGCTGAAAAAGCCTATTGTTTACTGATATCCTTGGAAGAGATCTTCTCTTCCAAGAAGCATGTGACTCACTGCTAACAGACAGTTTCCAGCAACCTGAAGAAAACTGCCCCTGATTCCTACTGGCAGTCAATCCCTAAAGCTCATATATTTTCTTATTCCCATCTGTTCGCTTTTTAACACATTGGAAGGAAGCCTTAATACTGAAAGCAAATATAAAATCCAATGATTTTAAGAACTTGAGGATCCTGAAGATGCATGGAGATATTCACTGAACTTCTAACCACTTCACAAACATTTATGAGACTTCCCAGGGAAACTGTAGAACAGTGGTCACCAACCTGGGGATCCCGATCTACAGGTAGATCCCAGAGCCTCTTTGGATAGGGGGACGGCATACACACACCCACCGCCCCAGCCCCAGCAGGTCAATCTGTGGGAGAGGGAAGGGGCAGGAGCCAGATCAAGGTCCCCATGGTAAGTGACTGACTGTGCAGCTGAGCCAGGAGCAGGGCAAGATTAGTGAGGCCCCAGCCCCACTGGGTGGTGGAAGGATTGGAGCCCGGGGCCTCCTCCTGTGACACGGGGGGCTCCCTCCCTATCTCTGTGGGGCCAGAGGTGGCAGAGACAGCTGCTGCTGCACCTCAAGTCCCACTGCAGTTGGCCATGTGCGTGCACGGCTCACCTAAGCAGCGGGGACTCCCTGGCCCAGACAGGTCTGGGACTCTCCGCAGCCCAGGGGTGCATGGGTGGGGGGAGGGGTCCTGCCAATGGGCGCAGCCTGGCAGAGGTCTTGGGGGCCCATACCACCCCCAACCTGTGCTTGGGACAAGGAAGCTGTCGCTGCCTGCCCACTGCTCCCAGAGCATAGGTGGGGGTGGGCACAGGTTCCCGAGGCCTCTGCCAGGCTGCGCCCTGTGGTGGAAACCCCCCGTCCCCATGTACTGCTGGGCCACGTAGAGTCCCAGACCTGGCCAGGACAGAGCCTGACCATACTTCTGTGCTGCCACCTCACTGGGCTGAGCCATGCCTTCCTGGCAACCAGACAAACGTAACGTTGGGCTCTGGCCCGGCCGAGTCTGGAAGGCTCTGTGGTCCAGAGCACATGGGGAGGGCTCCCATCGCTGGGCGCAGCCCAGAGGAGACCCTGGGGGCCTGTGGCCCCCCCAGCTGTGCTCCAGGCACAGCAGGCAGCCTGCAGCAGCAGCCTCCTCATCCCAGAGCATTGGAGGAGGAGGGCGCACAGGCCCCATGGGCCTCCCCCGGGCTGCACCCAGTGGCAAGAACCCCCCACCACGTGGCCCTGCAGGGTTCGGGACAGCAGATCCTGGGGTGCCCTTTACTTCCAAAAAGTGATCTTCACCATAAAAAAGCTGGAGATCACTGCTGTAAAATCTTCTTCAGTGGAGGTTTTCAAAAGGAGGCTACATGGGCAGAG